GAGGTTTATTGTTGTATGCCTGTTATATGACTTATATACTACTCTGTCTGAGGTTTATTGTTGTATGCCTGTTATATGACTTATATACTACTCTGTCTGAGGTTTATTGTTGTATGCCTGTTATATGACTTATATACTACTCTGTCTGGGGTTTATTGTTTTAAGCCTGTTATATGACTTATCTACTACTCTGTCTAGGGTTTATTGTTGTATGCCTGTTATATGACTTATATATTACTCTGTCTGAGGTTTATTGTTGTATGCCTGTTATAGGACTTATATATTACTCTGTCTGAGGTATATTGTTGTATGCCTGTTATAGGACTTATATACTACTCTGTCTCGGGTTTATTGTTTTAAGCCTGTTATATGTCTTATACACTACTCTGTCTGAGGTTTATTGTTGTATGCCTGTTATAGGACTTATATATTACTCTGTCTGATGTTTGTTGTTGTTTGCCTGATATAGGACTTATATACTACTTTGTCTGTGGTTTATTGTTTTATGCCTGCTATATGACTTATATACTACTCTGTCTGAGGTATATTGTTGTATGCCTGTTATATGACTTATATACTACTCTGTCTTTGGTTTATTGTTGTATGCCTGTTATAGGACTTATATATTACTATGTCTGATGTTTGTTGTTGTTTGCCTGATATAGGACGTATATACTACTTTGTCTGTGGTTTATTGTTTTATGCCTGCTATATGACTTATATACTACTCTGTCTGAGGTATATTGTTGTATGCCTGTTATAGGACTTATATCCTACTATGTCTGAGGTTTATTGTTTTATGCCTGTTATAGGACTTATATACTACTCTGTCTCGGGTTTATTGTTTTAAGCCTGTTATAGGACTTATATACTACTCTGTCTCGGGTTTATTGTTGTATGCCTGTTATATGACTTATATACTACTCTGTCTTTGGTTTATTGTTTTATGCCTGTTATATGACTTATATACTAATTTTCTGAGGTTTATTGTTGTATGCCTTTTATAGGACTTATATACTAATCTGTCTGAGGTTTATTGTTTTATGCCTGGTATATGACTTATATACTACTCTGTCTGGGGTTTATTGTTTTAAGCCTGTTATATGACTTATATACTGCTCTGTCTTTGGTTTATTGTTGTATGCCTGTTATAGGACTTATATACTAATCTGTCTGAGGTTTATTGTTTTATGCCTGTTATATGCCTTATATACTACTCTGTCTGAGGTTTATTGTGTTATGCCTTGTATATGACTTATATACTACTCTGTCTGAGGTCTATTGTTTACCTGTAAGTTCATATAAAACTCGGGACAGTTAAGTCAACCTGTATAGCCTGCCCTAAACCTTTATACATATGTAACGAGTTTGTAATACTCCCAATCCTCTATTTATATATACGACTTTGATTTCAGGGGAAAAGATCAGGCATTTCAGAGAAAGGATTTTTTATTGTTTATTTTACAAATAAACCGATAAAAAAAACTGTATATGAAAATTTCATTTTTCTTTTTACAGTCCATCCGATTGGTGAAGAACCAACGTTTGCAAACGGTGAGATACTGGTCTGTAAAAACAAACCTAGTACCATCAAAATATCTTTCTGACCGTCAAATCTAAAACGACGATTGTAAATTGATCAAAAGTAATAAGGTGCATTATTTGCAACGTTCATGGTAAACACTAAAAATCTGTCAGAAAGCAATTTGCTATGACAATAGAAGGCCGGTCCAAGTTTAATGTTTTCAGAATGACTAAAATACAGGATACCTGTCATAGATAAGTAAAATCTCAAACTTATCTGTTATAATGTTTTTGTAAAAGTGAAGAGTTCCACTGACATAACCCATTGTTGCTCAAACTACTGGAACAGTAAAGATATTCTTTACGTCGAATGGAACAGTAAAGATATTCAGTAAAGATATTCTTTACGTTGAGTGGAACAGTAAAGATATTCTTTTCGTTGAGTGGAACAGTAAAGATATTCAGTAAAGATATTCTTTACGTTGAGTGGAACAGTAAAGATATTCAGTAAAGATATTCTTTACGTTGAGTGGAACAGTAAAGATATTCTTTACGTTGAGGCATCTGGAGACCTTCAATGTTCATTTTCCTAGAGAGTTAGCAAAACTGCTGTTGAAATGCAAGATACTATTCTATTTGCCAGGCTTAGTCTTTTACACTTTATTTCACGGGAGAACATATATCATTCGAAGCGTTTAGTTTCTCTGTAAAACAAGTCAGACAGATGTTATGGTATTGAAAACACCAAGGACGGCACAAAATCAGACTTCGTGGAACCACATTTGTTTAAATTGTTTTACTCTCGAAACTTGCTACTATGTCATTTTAGGCTTGCTCAATTCAGATGGAAACCCTACTCTCTAGGAAAATGAACATCGCTGTTAAACACACTTTGAAAAAAAAGATGAGTGCTTATCTCACACAATAGTGATATATTCTAAAGAATAAAAGCAAACTGTTTTGTTTTATTTAATATATGACTTTAGTTGCCAGATATTAAACAAATGCATGGTAACACATCGCCAATTAAAATGTTACATTGGACAAGGCGACTAAATGAAGGTGCAATGACAATCCTGTTATAATAAGGTCATATTAGACCTATTTATTGTTTTAATATATATGTTTATATCATATTCATTATATGAAATTTGGAATTTTTCATATGATGCATAAAATATCTTATATAATTTTATTAAACACAAAGTTGGCATTACATAGATATTTTGTCAAATGCCATATGGCAATTAATTCAGGTAGTTCATGATAAAGACGCATACATTTTGTTGCACGTTTGTTGGCGACCTGCAGGAAACAGACTATCCAAATAATGTACATTGTACATTAATAAAGTGTCTATTGGATGATATGTTTCCTGCTTTTTATTTCCAAATATCTTCACCACAAAATCCCCAAGCTTTTTTATCAAGACATCTTGAAGTCGATTCTAACTTACTGAAGTTGTACCGAATTTAGAACTACAAAAGAACACATAATTCTAATTGATTTCAAAATATTGTTTAGACTAATTCGTGGTAGCAATCCATGATATGGTGATCAAATTTCTGATTGGATCCATTTCTTATTTACTTACGCAGCTTATATCTACCCGTGTACCAGATCTGACAATCTTACTACGATAAGAAACTCTTTTCACGTGTTTTTTTTTATTTATTCAAATTATAAGTTAAATTAATATAATGAATTTTAAAACAATCTGTTTATCTGACCATGGTTTATATGATAACCGTAAGCATATTGGATATGTATTGACCCCGAGACCTCGACAGCAGGTCTATGTTACACATTTGGCCAAAACGATAAGTTCTGTCCCAGAATCCTAATCACAACTATCAGGGTTACCCAAACGGTTTTTTTGGTAAAAAATGTTCATGTTTTTACCATGCATGTTCAATTCATTTACAAACATAGCTACACATGAATAAAAATATTTGGTAATTGCATATAAATTTTAATTAGAATCAATTTCATTGTCTACTTTCAAAAGAGGTAATTGAAAGGTTTGACGATGTGACCAATTGACCTTCGGGCCAGGTGAGCTAAAAACCAGGAAGACTGAATGATTGAAAATGGACGCTTTTATTAAAACGACAAAACATAAAAAATACATGTTACAATACATATATTAAACACCCTCCTGAGAAGGTGTGCCATAAACTGTATTTCATACTCAAATGCCATGCCATTCTCCTTATGACTATAGTAGGTGAGGGGACAGTGGGTGTTGCATCATTGAGACATTTCATTGGCGGAGTAAACTATCAATGAAAGGACTCATCGTGCAAGGTGGCGTTTTTGTCCACTCACCAACTATACTTCAAATTCAAATTCCATGTTAAATATGTTTTTTTTAAAATCTGTTTATCTGACTTTATATGATAACCGTAAGCATCTAAGATGTTTATTGGCCGTGAGACTTCGACAGCAGGTCAATGTTATACATGTGAACAAAAATAAAAAGTCCTTAATCCCAGAATCCTAGTCACAAAGCATCAGGGTTACCCAAACGTCTTTTTGTTTTTATAACGCATGTTTTATTCATGTATAAGCATGGGTACACACGCACACAAATATTTGGCAATTGCTTACAAATTGTAATTAGACATTCATCTTATTGTGTACTTTCAGAAGAGGCAATTAAAAGGTTATTATAAATGCATTTGACCACAATGACCTAGAGAGTAGGTCAAGATAATTAATTTGAACAAATTTGATATCGGTTCAGTGCAATTAATCTAAGAAAATTTGATAGTCCTTCATCTCAGCATGATACCAGCCAAATATCATGTTCCTATAACTCTGGTCATTCCGATTAGTTATTAAAAGATTTAAATCAACTTTGCCTTAAATGGGTTAAGGTTATTCATTTTAACGAATGTGACAGTACTACACCAGTGTTACTGGCTTAAATCGTAACCCTAGACCTCTTCAGAAAAACGTATACGTATTTGACCTTGAAAGCAAGTCCAAGATATTCATTTGAACAAACTTGATATCTCTTCATCAAAACATGCCACAGATTCATTATAATAATATGCATTCTCTTGATTAAAATCATTCATCTTGACGCCTGCAACATTGAACTCAGGTAAAGTTCATTCAGAAGTTTAAACACATTTGGCACTATTACGTTTGAAATTAATCAGTCATTTTTCGTTCAAGCAAGCACGATGACCCTGTCCCAACATGCTAATTTCGGGACCCTTGTCCTCTTGGTTATTCAGAAGTTGCTTGATTATTTTTCAACGAATTTTACCCCTGTGACTTTGAAAGTGGGGGAAGATCATTTATTTGAACATACATCATTGCCCTTCATCACCCTAGTCTTACTGATTATTCGTCAGAAGTTATTTATATTAAATCATGGACACCAGATAAATGGCAGATAACGCACCATCCCAACAGCTAAGTTAGCCTTTACCGACAGGTGAGATATAAACAACTCAACACAATGATGTATCATTTCATATTTTAATATATTGCATTCCGAAAATAAATAAAAAAGTATGTTTACTGTAAAGTCACAAACATTGTCCATATACTAGCTTTATGCTATATTAGCCAGCCAAATGTTTGTTGAAATCACAACTGTGTCCATACACTAGGTTTAACTCCAGTCTGTTAACACTAATAGTTTGTGTAGATCACAATCACAACCGAATCCATACACTAGCTTAAACTCCAGTTTGTAAAAAATTCTTGTTTCCTAGGGGCTTTCGAGATCCCTGAAAAGAAAAGAAAAAAGAAAATTAGTACAAAATATTGGAGCAACACTTAAAATAACAACACAAATTTTGTATAAGGAAATAAATAATGATATGCCAAGCATGATCAACTACTGAAGACATTCAGAAATCCACTGTCAGTACCAACACCAAGATAGCACTAAACATCCTTAGTTATAAAGAATAGCCATACCTGGTAGTAGACCTTTTTCCACTAAAGACATAATTCATGTTGATATTTCTTGAGTAGACATAAATTGGTCAATGTATACGAAAATACCCTTTTACAGTAACACAATAATAATAACCAAAAAGGTTGTTAGTTGAAAATTGGAAATTCATGCATTTTGATATTCCCATATACCACAAGTATATTATCATCAACAACACCAACCAAAGATTTACCAAATCAATCCCAAATCACCAAGACTGACATGCAAGGAAGTGCTTATAACAAGTCATCATGTAGTACCAGATTCTGTAGGATTGTATATACCTTTCCTTGTCAAATATATCAATACAGGCATAATAGGACACAAGTAGCTAGACAGTTTCTGAATAATTTGTAAACTCAAGAAATTGAAATTTTGTTGAAAAATATAAATCAATGTATACATATACAGATGTTTGAATAAGATTAAATCTAAAAGTATTGCTAGTGCCATAAATTTTGTCTGTATAATTATAAGTGCTCAGTGAAATAACAAGTGCAGGTAGGTAATACAGACAGATCAATAAATATCTCCCTAGAGAGATGTTAGAGTGGTAGAGTTATAAAGTGATCATTTCATCATGAGGTGAACCAACTTGTGCTGTCAACAAAACTCTAAATATAAAGGACATACCATGTAAAATAATGCTGTAGCTGTGTCAACGACAACAAAGAGACAGAAAAATAGGCAGGGCAGAATGTAAATCAGTTCACAACATAGCATAGAGATGCAGGTATTCTGTCTTTGCGTATTGCAGAGTTATCTTCTCTTGAGAGCAGGTATTGATTGTTATGTCATTTGTCTGCGAGAGTAACGTCATCAATTTGTGAGAAAACGACGTAATTTTCTCACATAAACCAATTACGTAACAATCAATACCTGCTCTCAAGAAAAGGTAACTCTGCAATACGCAAAGACGGAATATTGCTAATATTGCAGATAGTTTGTGGTCGAGGCTACTTTCAAAACGATATAAACTGCCTCTCATATTCACTTAAAACAATCTACGCTATCCCCACCAATCAATTGTGACATCCAGTATTCTCTAACCTAGCACATTCTTAATTATATAAAAGTTAATCGAGCACATTTTAAAGTATTTAAAAAAAAAGTTATATCAAAACATTTAGTGTTGGAAATAGCACTCTACTTTATACACTGGAATAATAGTCTTCATCTGATTATTTGTTACTCTATATGACCATGGCAATATCGTAATAAACAGATTGTTAATGGGTTTTTTCTAAAAAGATTTAATATTTCAAAAACATTTTCCAAGAATGTCTTTCTTCTGTATTAGCACTTACTACTGAATCAACACTGTTATGTTTGTAAAGGAGCCAGTCAAAATAAGAAACACTGATAATTATCAAATATAATGCCCAACTCTTCACTAAAAGCTACCAACACTGACAGCTGGTTAAAAATTGGAACAAGACCCAATTGGTTTATTAACCATAGCTAAATTAATCACAACCTAAACTAATCACAAATTATATTATATTTAGTAAATATAATGCTACTTGTTCTATTTTTGTTAATATTTTCACATGTCACGTGATAGCAGAATTTCAAATAACTTGGCTATTTTCAATTCAAACTGTGACCGTATGGGTATTTGGTTTTCAGGTGAATGCTGTTAATTAGAAAAACATCATGTCTAGTCTCGTTCAAATTTGAATAGAAACAAGACTGTCTGTCCCTTTTTAGTAACATTCTAGTATAATGTACAGAATGCTACATCTTTACACTAATGTGGAAGGACTGATAATATATCAATGTCTGTACAGAAACTGTACAAAACGGAATCACTATACAATAATATAGATCAAAATAACTCTTCAATAAGTTAAAATTGTTCAATCTCATCCACACAACACTTCACTCCCTTGCACACATTAAAAATACTTTAAAAAAGTACAAGTTAAATGGACATCAATAAAAAGCAGCATTGACCCCTATAAGGGTTGCTTACTACTACAAAACTGCTGCTAAGACACACAACCTGGGTCTATTTTGTTGGACCGTTTAGGGGTGGACATGGAGTTTAAGATTTTACCAATAGCCTTGATAGGTGTGGCAATAGTATATTTCTTTTTATCAGGAACTGAATTGGGTTCATCCTCAAAGAGTTTGACAAGATTACGAACCTTGGAGGCGCTCTTCGTTGCTGACGATACCGATCCCGTGTGTCCACGAAATTTCTTATTGGGCGTATTGACTATGGTGAATGCAGCATTACTTAACCATTTCTTTGCAGACTAGAACAAACAAACAGAAAACAACATATTAACGTTTGATAACAGTTAGTGTACAAAACACATTTGTAGCCTTTCAATTATTTGTTTCTTTGATCAGACAGGTATTTTATGCAAATTTTTTCCTCTAAAAAGTGTTCAGATTTCCCCCCCATTACCAAGGGCAAATAGCAAGATCGATCTTACCTTTCTCAAAGAGGAGGGCACATTTTCATCATTGACAGACCGCTTTGGTGTTCGTTTTGATCTTGAGTTGCCAATGGGGGTTCTGGGTGATGAGCGGAGGTTGTAGCGAGGTGTGCCCTTGGAGTTTCGACGCAAGTTATTTGAGTTTCCTGGGGTAGGAGGACCAGGCTTGTGGTACACAGTGCTGTGTCTTGATTGCTGAAATATTTACAAAATTGAAATGATAACAGGGGGAGATGTCAGAAATTAGTTTTTATTGCTACATTTTACATCAAACTGATAATAATAGTTGGTGAAATAAAACCATTGTGATGATTGTGTAAATTTTCTTTTGATATTTGCGTATTTCAAACAGTTGGTGAAGCTCTTTACTGAACATGGAAGTGGTATACCATAACAGTTGAAAACCAAATGGCAAATACCTATTTCATATATTCCTCAATAAAATGGAGGATTGTACTGCCTAAACAGTCTATTTACCTGTTTTGATGATTCTCCTTCATCACTGGAACTCTCCTGCTTTCTCTTTCGCCCACTGCCCTGCGTACCACTGTTGGTGAAGGCCAGACTTTCCCTGACAGAGTTCTCTGCATACTGCTGCATTTCCACAGGGTAGGTGGACCGCATGTGAGGCAGCATGAGTGTGTTGCGCCGCTGAAGCTCACTGAATCTCTTCCATTCAAGGTCAGCAGGCTCATCCTCCATTGCAAATAATTTGGCTGTACCCCCTGCAACAAACCATAATTGTGTGATAGATATCCATGTCCTTGACAACGAATCTGATCAAGAATTGTGACTTCTTTATTTGACATTATGTCTACCACTTTTTAAGCTACCACCTAGTAAATGCCAGAACTCTATTAATACCTTTTTAAACAGATCACATTAGAAATTGACCTTAGTAAAATTGAATAATTTGTCTTTATTTAAAAAGAAAACCCATTGAAAACAGTTTCAGTGAACTGAAAGTATCATCTAGATAAGTGAACATGAAGGGGCTTGCTTAATCTAGAGGCTTAAAGCTAGCTTACTTGAGGGATAGAAAGGGATCTTCTAGAACTAGCTTACTTGAGGGATAGAAGGTATATACTAGAGCTAGCTTACTTGAGGGATAGAAAGGATCTACTAGAGCTAGCTAGCTTACTTGAGGGATAGAAGGGATCTACTAGCGTTAGCTAGCTTGCTTGAGGGAAAGAAGGGATCTACTAGAGCTAGCTAGCTTACTTGAGAGATAGAATGGATCTACTAGAGTTAGCTAGCTTACTTGAGAGATAGAATGGATCTACTAGAGCTAGCTTACTTGAGAGATAGAATGGATCTACTAGAGCTAGCTAGCTTACTTGAGAGATAGAAGGGATCTACTAGAGCTAGCTAGCTTACTTGAGGGACAGAAGGGATCTACTAGAGCTAGCTAGCTTACTTGAGAGATAGAATGGATCTACTAGAGCTAGCTAGCTTACTTGAGAGATAGAAGGGATCTACTAGAGTTAGCTAGCTTACTTGAGAGATAGAAGGGATCTACTAGAGCTAGCTTACTTGAGGGATAGAAGGGATCTACTAGAGTTAGCTAGCTTACTTGAGAGATAGAAGGGATCTACTAGAGCTAGCTTACTTGAAGGATAGAAGGGATCTACTAGAACTAGCTTACTTCAGGAAGCAGTAGATCCAACTTACTTGGAAGAGAGGCAACAGAGCGACCAGAGTCTGTGCTAATCATGCTCTGATCCATGCTTGTCAGGCGATTCCGCGATGATCGTCTCCTGGGTGCCATTTCAGGGGAAGAACTACTAAATAAATAATTATAAACATTGATGAGAAATAATACAACAAATGGAAAAGAGCTTGTGTTAGGATGTATACTGACAACATATAAAAACACAAAATTGATAACATAAGCATTAAGCAATCACTTTCTTTTGAGTAGATAAACTACAAAGGTTTTTGAGTAAATCACCAACTCTGTCCTGTAACAGGGAATTTACAATTTTTTAAATATCAACTTTGTTATGTAGGTGAAACCAGACAGGTGAAAATACTAAAAACACACTCTCATATTACCTGATACAGTGTCTGTAGTAGTGTTGAGACTAATCCCCTGTGAAGGGGGTGAACTATGTACAGTATATGCCAACATACCTTCGTCGTTCACTAAGTGTGTCGTCATCTTTATGGTTTAGACAGGTTTGTACAAAGTCACTGTTGTCGCCTATGTAATGGGTGCCTGTGATCTCCAGCTGGGTACGTAAGGTCTCTACTTGCTTCTTTGTCGCCTTCAGCTCTGCCTTCAACTCTACCATCTGTATGCCTACAATAAAGTAACACTTGTACTATAACAACTAGTTCTACTGAACTTTAAAGTCATATCTAGTCCAACTTCAGATATAATATTCTTCATTGATTGATCATAAAAGCTGTTTTACAATACAGATCTTGGTTAACAATAATCAATCATTAACATATATATTCAACTGGGAAAAAACAAAGTCAAAATACATGAAAAAAGTCCAAAAAGCAATTAATCAGTGGGAAAAATCAAAAGAACTGAATAAGAGCGACAAAGTCAGATCAAAAAGATTGTTTTCATATTTTTCCTGTATTGGAAACTTCAGGATATTAAATTAACTTTTTTAAGCTCAAGCAGCCTGTTGTATCTCTCACGTTCAGGCTACTCAATGCATTACTGTGTTGCTTGAACATTTTGCTTATTCTTAAAATTCCAGTACTTTGGTGGACCCACGAGATCATGGTAATACCTATAGACCTGTTGAATTACTTACTCAGTGTCTTGTTGTTGACCTTCTCCTTGTCTAGTTTATCCTGGAGCCCGTGCTGCTGGGTCTTTTCTGTTTGAAGAAGGGCCTGAATGAAGTCAGAAAAAAATCAACTTGATTTATTTATGTCTTTTAACATCTTAATAAATCATTTCGTTATTGTTTTCTTTCATACATAATTCTTTTAAATCCATTAGCTTTTGGACCAAAAATATATAAACACTAGATACAAATGGAATAAGTTTATTTCATAACTAAACTTAAGAGAATAATACTAAACCTGATATTGACTTTAAATATAACATACCACACGTTCAAAAGTCCAAATTTGGACCATTATAAATAACTTTTGAGGACAATTCACTGTCACTTTAGACAAACGTTATAAGAGCTATTTATCAAATATTAGGTGTAGGAGTGGCAGACAATTGTTNCCCCCCCCCCCCCCCCCCCCACGCCAATATTGTGCATTAAAGATAAGTTACAAAACTTTTTCAATAGAAACTTTGGCTGACCTTGAGTTTTTTCACCTCCTGAGAAAGGTCGATAGATTTAGTCTGGAACTCTTTGCCGACCTTCAAGTTGACTTCTACTTCTTTCTTGAGAAGGTCAATCACCTCCTTCTTCTTGTTGTAATGGACTCGGTAGTTGTCTATTGTCTGTTGTAATTTGGATTCTTTATCCTCCAGCTCTCTGATTTTATCATTCAACTGCAGCAATCAGCAATGCATATATATATTAATAGAGGCCTTGGACATGAAAATAATGGTAATGGTTATGAGCTGGATATTCAAAATTATTTGATTGTATGGTGGACATGTGTTCATAAACTGGACACAACTTTATTTTTGTTTTACACCTTTTTTGTCATTATTTAATTATATTTAAGGATAAAGTTGTCCTGAGTAGGCCTACTCAGGATAACTATTCTAAACCAAATTCTACAGCTATATTGGTTTTAAGTGTTATTATTCATTCAAATTCTTGACAACAAATCTAAATTGAAGGAATAACTGTTATCTTTTTTCTTCTCTTTGAATTTCATTACTCTGATTTTTTCAATCACACATATCTACACAGAGACAGGAAAAAATCTTAGGATTTACAAGAGCAAGGGTCGGGGAATTGTAGACAAGACGCTTGCACCGAAAAAACACCCTTTTGACAGTGGAAATAATATAGTAATGCTATCAGGTAATGTTACCTGGCTTTTCTCAGCATTGGCATCAGAGCACTGATCCTGAATTCTGGAGAGTTCTGTACGGAGCTCAGCCTCCTCAGCTTCCCTGGTACCTTTCACCTCAGCAACCTTCAACTGCCACTGTTGCAGAGACAGCTCAGCATTTTCCTTCATGTTTTCAATCTAATACAAAAAAGGAACAATTAAAAACATCTTTTCAGAATATTATTCTTAAAAGAAGAAACTTTTTCTTGAAAAGAGAAGTGAAACTTGTTAAATTAAACACACTGAGTTACATTTTCCAAACAAAGCCTTTCCTGAAAATTACAATTAGATTTGACTTTTGATTAATATACTCTAAATCTGTTTAAAATACATTGTATTAGTACCACAAATTGTGACAAGACAAGGAAAGGGTTAGTGACTGAAGTGAAACAGACCTGTCTTCTGTAGCTGGTGATTTCCTTTGTTGCCTCGTCCAGCTTGTTGTGGAGTTCAGTACACTGACCATTGGCTGCCACTGTCCGACTTTGCTCTTGCTCCAGCAGTTGTCTACTCTCCATCTGAAGTTCTGATAACTTTGTCTTGAACTCAAGCCGCAGATTGTTCTGTTCTTCATTATGATTTTCAGTCTGATTTGCCATACTGATGTCATAACTCTGTTTCCTTTCTCTCAGTGCTTTTTCCAGTTCATCACACCTAGCCTGCTGACTGTGCAGTTTATTTGCCAGTTCCTTTTGGCTCTCTGTCTCTGATGTCAATAGATCCTGTATTTTATCAATTTGAACCTGATTGTTGGATTTCAGCTTTTCCGAAATTGCACTGCTTTCTGTTTTATGTTTCTTTTCCAGATTTTCTATTTCAGTTTGTTTTTTTTCTAATTTTTTCTCCATGTGTGCTATCCGATCTTGGAGTGCTGCTTTCTGACTGACTGCAATCATCTCCTTTTCTTGTACAAGGGCCTGACAGCGAGTTTGGAAGCTCTGCTCCTGACTTGTGAGCTGGTCGCGGTACTGTTGTGTCTGCTCTTCTGTTGCTTTATGGTATTCATTCTCCAGCTGTGCTAACTGTGAGCGCCAGTACTGTTCACTTTCCTCCATTGTCTGGTGACAGCTGGTACGAACCTGCTCAAGTATCTGTGATTTCTGATTTAGTTCAGACTCAACTTGTGCCACCTTTGCCTCCAGGATAACCCTGTCCTTGTTGTCCAGCTGGATGGTCAGTCTCTGATTCAGCTCCAGTATTGTCTGTTCGAGGGAACGCCGTTTCTCACCAGCTTGCTTTAGCTCCTGGTTTGTTGATGTCATTTCTTTGACAAAATCTCGCATTTTGTCTTCATGACTTTTGACAAAAGCATTACAATCAGATTTCATTTGATCTTTCATCTCAGCGATTGAGATCTGGTACTGAGCTGTTGTAGACTCCAAATTCGCAGCCAAAACATCTTTTTCACTCGATGCCTTTTCCAATTTACATCTTAACTCACTGACTGATTTTTCATACTTTGCTGTCACAGACACCAACTTTTCGGCCAAAACCTCACTGTCACTTGATGCTTTCTCCTGCTCCGACCTGAGCTCACTGATTATAGTTTCATACTTTGTCGTCAAAGATACCAACTTTTCAGTCAAAGAATCATTGTCACTCAACGCCTTGTTCAATTCTGATCTCAACTCACTGATCGAAGTCTCATACTTTCCAGTTGCTACATTCATCTTCTCGGCCCAAACGTCACTGTCACTTGATGCTTTCTCCTGCTCCGATCTGAGCTCACCAATTGAAGTTTCATACTTGGTCGTTACAGATGCCAACTTTTCAGTCAAAGAATCATTGTCACTCAACGCCTTATCCAATTCTGATCTCAACTCACTGATCGAAGTCTCATACTTCCCAGTTGCTACATTCATCTTCTCGGCCCAAACGTCACTGTCACTTGATGCTTTCTCCTGCTCAGACCTGAGCTTACCAATTGAAGTTTCATACTTGGTCGTCACAGATGCAAACTTTTCATTTAAAGTGTCCTTGTCACTTAATGCCTTTTCCAGTTCAGAGTTGAGCTCACGGATTGAAGTTTGGTGCTTTGTAGACACACTCTCTAACTTTTCTGTCAAAACACCATTGTCCTCCAATGCTTTGTCCAGTTCACACCGTTTGATTTGAGATTCGGATGTTAGCTGTTCACATTTTATTTGTAATTTGTCAATGTCTTGAGTTTTTTCTGCCAATTGTTTGTTCAGAGAACAGATCTCATCATGGTTGACATCATTCTGTTTTTTAATTGATTCCTTTTCCTGTGTATGGTGTAACACAAGTAATTCAAGTGAGGAGATCTCATCACTTCTGACATTCAGCATTTCCTGCTGCGATTGTGTTTTGATGTTCAGATCACACAGCTGTTTGTCAAGACAGGAAACCTGTTCACAGTTCACATCACAAAGTTTCTGGAGTGTATCTTTTTCTGTTTCAAGTCCAGCAACTTGTAAAATCAGATCTTGTTTATCTCCCGTCAGATTTGAAATCACAACATCACGTTCTGAAATACATTCACTCAAAGATGAGATTTCCGAGTCTTTGTCACTTACCACCATTTCTAGCTCACTGACTTTTTGTGTGAATTCTGAAGATTGGGATTTAAGTTCAGCATTGTCGTTTTTCAGATTTGAAACAGCATTGTCCTTTGCTGTGAGAGAGGCCTCTAAAGATGAGATTGCGTCTGACTTTTCCTGAGAGCTTGATACATGCTCTGTCACTATTTGGTCAATCCTGGCCGACAGTTGTTGCACCTCGTCCGACAGTTTTCCGTTTTCCTGTGTCAACTGGTCGTTACTAACTTGTTTTGTCTCAGCCACCTTTGTGACAAGCACCACTTGACCAGTGAGCTCATCCACCTGTTCCTGTAGATGGGACACCTCTCTCGTAAGAGCCTCGTTCTCATCGTTTCTGGTCTGGATCTGTCGTGTCAGGTCATCAAGTCGGCTGTCCAGACTTGAACCCTTATGGACACTGACCTGGAACTGTTCCTTGAGCTGGTCAAGTTGTTTATGTACACCCTCACACTCCTTTCGGGACTTAGCAAGGTCCTTGGTCAGTGTCGTTTCCTTCTCTGTTGACTCTGAACGAAACTTTTCTAACTCTTCATTGAGACAAAGCACCTTATCAGCATTTGCCTGTTGACTTTTTGTAAACTCTGTTTCACTGTTTTTCAACTTTTGTTCTAAACACACCTTGGTCTCGGACACTTTTGAAATCTGCATATGTTGTTCATCTAAGCACTCTGTAAGATGAGACAGTTCACTTGTAGCCAGTGACAAAGAGTTCTTCAGGTCAGAAATCACAGTCTGCTGAGCCTCTATGTCTTTTTTCAGTGTGCAACTTAGTTGTTTTTCCTTTCCTAGTTCTTTCTCTATGCCCTTCAGATTCCGTTCAAGGTCTGATCTGGTTGACGCCTCTTGACTTAAGTCCTCCTTCAAGGTTGTAACCTCAGCCTCCATCTCCTGAAGCGACTGGGTGAGACCTGTACAAAGCTCTTCCTGCTGTGCTATCTGTTCCTTCAATCCAGTCTCTCTCTCCGACCATTTGGCTTGTTGTCTCTCTGCACTAGCTTCCAGTCCCTGAACCTTACTGTCACACTCAATCCTGTTTCTATCTAACTCAACCTTATACTCTCCAGACTTGTCTTGGAGTTCTGCTATGACATCCTTCAATCCGTCTTCTTCTGATCTTGCTCTCTCTTTGGTATTGGTTATTTCAATCTTTAGCTGTTCAACTTCACTCTGATGAATTGCCTTTTTCAGGTTAAGCTGACCTTCTAATGTGACCTTGTTCTCCTTTAAAATATTGACTTCCTCCCGCAGCCTCATTTCTGTCTCACAGATCTCTTCCTTCAGGCTGGTCATCTCCTCCTTTAGACATTTTATGCAATTGTCTTTGACCCACATTTCATTTTCCATGCGTATCTCCAGTTGTTTGAGGCTGCTCTGACTGGCTTTCAGTTTGGCTTTGAGGTCACCTTGAACCTTTGTTGCCTCCTCCTTCTGCTGACCCAGTTGTGTTTGAAGACAGTCGAATTTCTCCTCCCATGACGCTTGCTCTTGAATCAGCTTTTGCTCAATAGATTTCTGCTCAGATTTGGCAAGGTCCACAGATGCAGCCATTGTCTGTCGACGCACCACTATGGCCTGTTTCTGTCCCTCAGCCTCCTGCAAAAACAAGACAGATAAAAAAAATGTTTGCGCAGATATTATGACATTTCTAGATCAAGTTTGGATGACTTTTAAAATAAAACAATTTAGACAAAATAACAGGAATTATGTGTATCTGTTGTTATTATCAGAGGATTAAATTGGTTAAAGTTGATGGTAACAACCGCAAGTCAAACACATAACATTCTGTAAGCGAGTCAAAATTGAGAAAACTCTGATAAGCTTCATATTTTTTTTTTGTGAATCACATTAAGAGACCAGCCATTAGAATTACTGTGATACTGATTATGTAGACCATGATGAATCATTACAGATGACACAAAATTAGGAACATCATGGAAAACAACTCCATAGATATGACTGTTCACTAGAATTAAAAGTTCAAGGAACATACCATGGTCAATAATTTAATCTCTGTTTTAGCATGCGAGAGTTGTGTCTGCAGATCAACGACCTCCTCCTCCACCACCTGTTTCTCTGTACTGACTGTCTGTAGAAGGGTCGACAGCTCAGATTCATTGGATCTCAGAGTCAAACTCTCAGTCTGAAGTGCAGTTAGTTTTGTGGTCATTTCTGACAGATTAATCTTTAGTTTCTCCATATTTTCTTCACTGGAGGTCAGAGCCTGTTGTACCTGCTCAATTTCACCATCTTTCTTCAACAGACTTTGATGGGTCTCCATAAACTTGGTCTGAAATGAAATATATAGAAATTTGGAATTACAACCAGAAAGTAGAAGTATGACAATTATGTGAACACTTATTATCTCAAAATCAAACCAATTAAAACAAAATCCCCAATTCCTAATCTCACAAGTGTAACAAAAATCTGTCATAAACACTGATGAATAGCCAATAAATTTCTAAATAATGAATATATTTGTTAATAAAGGCAAGGTAACTCTACGCGAGTGAGGACAGCACAGGAGAATACCTTGATGTACAAGACTGACCTCAAATATCCTCTTTGATTCTTCGTTATTGGCTAGTTCCATCTCCAGGTGTTTGGACGACTCTGGGTCTGTCCACGTTTCCCTCAGCTGACCCAGTTGCTCCTCCAGCTCCTTGATACGTGTCTCCATGATCATCCCCATACTTTCTCCGTTTTTATTGTGGCAGTCTATGGCTGCAAAAACACATACACAATCATTTAATCAAAGGTGAGACTTTGGAATATGTATTCTGTGGGTTTTATTTGATATAATTGGGGACAAAAATTCAGCCCAATTCTCCATCTAAAGTGGTATGCTTTTACACACACACCCCTCCCCTCCAAAATACTCCCTTTTTTTTAAACAGTTTTTGATGCATACATATTATTTGAATATATTAAAGTAAGTTTTAATAAACAATCATTTCTAGACTCAGTTTTAAATATTAGTTAGACAATGAATAGTTTTTGAAAGGACTGATACTGAGTGAGTGATAAGATAGATGAAGTTTTACTTTATTAAGTTGTACACAAATGACACACTGTATACAGTTTTAGGTTTCACTGTAAGTTGTAACGTTCAGTACGTGGTTCTAAGCAAACCTGGCTGTTTAATACTGACCAACCATATGGCAGGTGTTTGTTCCCGGTTCAGATCTATAATATTATACAATAACCCTGTAGATCTGTGCCTACCTGTGAAAGCCATCATTTCCTCCATCTCTGCTTTCTCTGCCTTTATTTCGTCCAACTGTTGTCGTAAAGACACTCGAGATTCCTCTAACTCGTGCACTTTTTGCTTAGTCTGTTTAGACTCAGTTTTGCAATGCTCAAGTAGAGACTCCATCTCGGCTATCTGCAGTGTCTGATGGCGACACTTGTTACGGTATTCCTTGTGACTCTCCTTTAAAGACTCCAAGGCCAACAGCTGTAATGTACAATCAACCAAAACGAATATTTAAAAGTTTTTTTGTTTAAAACAAAGACCAAGGCAACATTATCAGATTTTTCAAATAATTTTTTTTTGGTTTTTTTTTATACTAAGTGTTTTATAATATATCATACAGGTTACTTTCTTTCTTTAAACATGTCGTCATTTCAATTAATCACAAATTTACATGTATATAATTTTGTGATTAATTGAAATGCTGACATGTATACCCATAAAATGAAAGCAACTAAACAGTAAATACAAAGTATATCTCTAGTGTGGAGAGAATTTCATTTTAGCTGACAAAATGCATCTGGGAATTTAGCTAAATGTGTACCTGAGCTGCCAATGATTTTGTTTCTGTGATTTTCTCATTGTTCTCTCTCTCCAGATATTTGCAGTGATCCTTAATGTCTTGTAACCCACTGCATCTCAGTTGTGCACTGCAGGAAAAATATTTAAAATGCAGTTACAATTTCTCATAATTAGTTTGCTTTAAATACATGATGTATGAACTTTGTTCTTAAAAACTTTTTTTCCTTCAATAAGATTCACCAGTTTGGAAATATGTTCATCAAAGTTTTACTTTATATACAAGTATGTATTAAACGTGTTAATTATGAACATTATTTGCGTATAAAAAAAACTTTGATATTCTGCGTGTATGAATTGATTAGACAGATCTGAATGGAGAGAAGTTCCTAGAATGGTTTAATCAGTATTCATATTTGACAAATTTTGCAGAGCTTTCCAATATCAACATATCTCCTACCTGCTGATCTCCTTCTGTAGATGGTCGCGCTCCTGCTTTACTAGTTCCAGTTCATCACATACATCTGCAATATTTCTCTGTCCTTTCAGTGCTGTCTCCAGCTCTTGGACTTTCAGTTCTGAAATATCATTATTGTTTTAGAAACTTTCATCATGCACTTATGCCCATGGATGTTCAAATATTATAAGCTATTCAAAGACACTTCATAGCTTGTTATTTGTTTTAAACCACATCAACTTTCAATATATGAAATGATCAAGGTAGTTAAAAACGTTTTATTAGTTAACAGCTTCCTGTCCAACCCTACACAGCTTCCCCTAAAATAATTTCAAGTCATCAAAATAATTTTTTATATTTTCTATTTTTGTATGGTTTCTTTATTTGACCAGTAAAAACAGTTAACAGATGACTGATTATAAAATGACCATTATACCAACCTTTCTGACCGAGCAGTTCACACTTCTCCTTTAGGTCCAGCTCCAGATTATCTCTGAAATGTCTCTCACTTGCCACAACAATCTCCAGCTTCCGAATTTCTTTCTCCTTCTGTCTTAATAACATCTGCATAATAACAAAGCTCTTGTTTAGTAAATATCACCTGTTACTGGTTCAGCTGTTTACGATGATCTCAGTGTGGGAATAGAGGCACTTGTTTATATGACGTTTAGATATGAAATTTGTCACCGAACTTCTGGAGTTAACATGCATATCAATCAAATACTGACTTTGTGAACTACCTGACATTGTGTTACCAGGCTGTTGTACTTTGTGAACTACCTGACATTGTGTTTCCAGGCTGTTGTACTTTGTGAACTACCTGACATTGTGTTACCAGGCTGTTCTGTCAAGCTCCTCTCCATTTTTTGACAATCTTACTTAACAATGTTGTGTTCTCCGACACATACTAAGGTCCTGATGACGCCTCACACAGAGGCAAAACTAGGGGGCCAATAAATCATTAACAACTTACAGGTGACGGGTTAGAATGTTGTGATTGATTTATCACCTATAATATTTCCACATTTCATCAATCGCCCTGCATACCTTCAGAATCCATACTTAGTGCAGCACACCACAGAACAACCTACTAGATTTTGGACTGACGGTTCTACTCTTGTTTGATTCTCATACATGTGTACATTTTGATTCATTGCAATAATTATATATTCCATATACTACTTTAACCTATCTAGGAGTATGATGCTTTAGGAACACAAAACTGTCATCATATAGCATGTTCTGTGGAGAAATAGAACCAATACTGATGTATAATTTTACCTTCTGAGTCACACCAATACTGATGTATAACTTTACCTTCTGAGCCACACCAATACTGATGTATAACTTAACCTTCTGAGCCCCACCAATACTGATGTATAACTTTACCTTCTGAGTCACACCAATACTGATGTATAACTTTACCTTCTGAGCCACACCAATACTGATGTATAACTTTACTTTCTGAGTCACACCAGTACTGATGTACATGTATAACATTTATCTTCTGAGTCACACCAATAATGATGTATAACATATACCTTCTGAGTCACACCAATATTGATGTATAACTTTACTTTCTGAGTCACACCAATACTGATGTATAACTTCACCTTCTGAGCCACACCAATACTGATGTATAACTTTACCTTCTGAGTCGCACCAATACTGATGTATAACTTTACCTTCTGAGTCACACCAATACTGATGTATAATTTTACCTTCTGAGTCACACCAATACTGATGCATAACATTTACCTTCTGAGCCACCTGAGGTGACTGCATGAGAGCTGACAAAGGAGTGACGGGGCCAGGAGAAGCCAGAGTTAACATCCTCATTGGGGAGCTAATTTCATGAGGACCAGTAGCCCTTGCTGAGCCAGCCATCAGGGAAGGAACTGGTGTCAGAGGTGTCCCATTAAAAACTACAAACAGGATACAAAACATGTAAACTTTATCATTGAGGTCTCTTCGACACACAATATACATCGAGAATAAAACAAATTGGATTTGAGAGATGAAAACTCAGAACATGTGGCAGTAAAATATTCTAACATGAACTTTCAAATATATTCTTTCAGTATATACCGGTATATATGATTATATTATAAAACAACATGAAAGAGATTTTGTTTTTTTCAAATTTGAACAAAAAATTGTTAAGAAATGTCTAGTCATTTCACAAATTTCTATAATTAGTAATTTGACATTGGAATTCAATTTGAAATCTGTAAAGTCCTATGATAATTTCATACCGGTACTTGACGATTGTATAAAGTTGCATTAAAAACTGTTTGAAAGAGGAAGTCTCTAGCAAAATGACAGTGAACCAGGACTGGATGAACATTGGTTAACACTATGCCTCCCCACCCCACCCCCATAAAATAAACTGAATTTCATAACATTAACACATATTTGATGGTAAATATAAAATCATAAAGAAAATTGACACATGTCTCTGTTACTATAACAATTGAGCTACTCACTCCCAATTAATTTTCCCACACAAATATTGTCTGTACTTAAAAGTTTTTTCAATGACTTACAAACAAGGCATGTTCATGTCTACTGACAACATATTACAAACTCAGTCAAACCTGGCACAACAAACTCTATAAATTCATGGTTATTTCAAGATCATCATAAACATTAAAACTTGCAAATTTCAAAATAATTATACTTATTTCATATATGTTCTGCATTTTGTAGTAAATCTGTTTTACAGTAAAGTATACATTAAACATTTGTTAACATTATTACAACAGTCACATTCTTGCCAATACCAACATGCACATGTAAACAGGTTTATCTTTAACGGGAGATTAAGTTAGTTCAAGCCATTTATAATGAAGAACAAATTTTATTCAAAATTAAATTCCCAAATGTAAAACCACAGCTAGTTATTTTACAATCTAGTTTCTTAATACGTGTATACATGTACAACCACCACATCAACTTTCCTGTCTCCTAAATTAGAAACACTAGACACTGCAGTGTGTAGATAACTGACTTAGACTGGATCATTTATATGTATGTTAATTTTATTTAGAATACTGTAAAAGGAGCCTTAATTCTTTTGACAAGTAATGTCTTTAGAGGATCACAGTTTAATAAAACTATGTGTTTCAGATTTTCAAGCTTATCCTACTGATTTTTAGCTATAGACTCAAAACTTTCAAAGCATACTTCAAAAAAAAATGAAAGGCATAGCAGTAACAAAAAAAAGTAAGTTTGTTCCAAATCCCATAACAACAACCTGAGTAAGAAATGAAAATCAATATGGATTAAAGGTTTTTACATTTTAATACTGAAATGTTGAAGGTAAACATTATTTTTGCAAACAATTTTAGAACATTTTTTTGAAGTAATGAAACCTTAAAATGGCTGAAACACATGCATCTCTTAGATCTAGGCCTTACCAAAATATGCCTATATATCAACAGTGAATGTTAGTGATCTGATGAATATATGCGAGTTACCTCATTCACCCCTAAAATTTCATAATGAACTATTCCAACCTTTGAACTGGAAGAGTTCACATGTATGTGTCTCCAGAAGTGAATGAGTTAATGAACAAATAAATGAATGAGTGAATAATGAATATGAAAGTGAAGATTAAAATGTGATGAAGATGAAAATGGTAACATTATTGAAACATTTAACACTTAAGAATCATAAGTTTTGAACATAAAACTGTTAAATAACTTATGATTTTTATACCGGTTGGGAAGTTGAAAGATTGGTCAACCGTCGGCGTTGATGTTACTATGCCTTTGCCCTGGGTAACTAGTTTGAAGAAAAGATCAGCATCTTTGTGAAAAGTTGACTCTAGGATAAACGGAAAATAAGGATGTGTCTTATCTTTAGTCATGTTAGTGTGACAGAAAAGTTAACAGGTGGTCTTAAGAATAACCAATTCAAGAATCTCAAGTAGAGTTTCAAAAGGGAAAACTCTCTATTGCGACAGTATCATAGTCTTATAGATATTTTATTCGTGAAGTAAAAGTCAAATTATAATCAATATAAAACTTTGCCTTGTGCTGTTTGTGATTATCTTGTGAGACAGGTTGGGAGAGAAATACAGTGCAACACTGGCCAACTTAACACACATAATACAACAATCAGAAAGGTCAAGACTAATCTTCACTAATACATAAATATAGTACAATACTTTCACTTCAGTCCAATAACAAGTGTTAACATGTCATTTATAAAGTTTGAATGCAGAGTTATGATTGTAATGATAATCACATTTGGTATAAAAAAATAATATACAAACGTTCATTTCAATAAAGCTTCCTTAATCTTATTAAGAATAACTGGTGTTAGAAGAGCGAGTAAAATGTAGATCAATCTATTCTAACCTTTAACAAACATTAATGTACTACACTAAACACTATCTACAGACTATTAAGCAAAACGATAGCAGGAAAACATCAGGATCTGTGTCTAGTGAAAAATATATATGATAACTTTAGATGAAATAAATTCTGGTCAGACAGATATTAATAAAAGAGCACATTTAACTTTCTGTTTAACTAATAGGTTATACATATAAGCAATTTACAGCACTGTACAATAGCAAATGTAGTCACAACAAAACTCAACAGATAACATACCTAGTTCTCTCTTCCTTTTTAAGATATCTGCAAAGTCTGCTGGGAGACGATTGGTCAGATCTTGAGAAGTGACCATAGGTTCAAGGAGTTGCATAATGTCCATTTGTTCCTCCTGAGACAAGGTCAGGGCAGCATCAATAAAAGTCTGTTTCATCTTGTCTTGTACAAATGCCCCAAGTAAAGCATACAAAACCTAGAAGCAACAGGATAATACATTTTTCTTAAGGGTTAAAAGTTGACTTTGGGTAGGGTAGGGAGGGAGGAAAGTTATTTCATCTTTTATAATAATATACCATGTAATTTTAATCATGTTCTTATGTGGATTCAATACTATTATTGCCACTATTGACAGATATTTTTCAGTAATAACTCATTTAACAATCAGTTTAGTTGAGAGATTACCCTATTAATCAATCCTCTTTAGAGCCCTCCACGTTTTCATTGCAACAAAGCAGATAACCATACCATACTACTCTTTAATTATTGATAGACCATCCTGTTAATTTAGAGACCACTTTTGACGTTTAATTTTGGTGTTCTCTTAATACAGATTTCACTGAAGATGTGATGTATAGATCTGTCAAAGCCAGGCCAAAACTTACCTTTGCTAGCTCCCATTCTACGAGGAGGGAATCACTGTGTAAAGAACTATTCACAATCAGTGATATATCTATGACAGAGGAACCTGGTTCAAGTTTCGTAAAGTAGTGCTCTGAAATTAGAGTCAAACAGTTTATGGTAATTCTGGAGAACCCCACACAAATCACCTCAATATGAGAATAAAATTATATCCTTAGTAGCTCACACTTCGTTAAAACGAATGCTGCAGCACATGTTGAAGATTGATTTAATTATTATAACAAGTTGAATGTTTAATGATTATAACATGTTGAATGTTTAATGATTAAAACAAGTTGAATGTTTAATTATTATAATAAGTTGAATGTTTAATTATTATAATAAGTTGAATGTTTAAACTGTATACCAATGACACTTACCCTCTATATATTCTTGAACTTTAACGTAGCATTCTGGTACTGAGGTAGCAGTTTCACATTTCTCACTGATATCAATAAAAATACACATTTAATTTCACTAATAAACATTTCATCAAAATGTTTTTATTTTAATTAGTTGAATGTTGTTATTATTAGTGTGTACACAAAACAGAATTTCGATTCTTGGATACAACTTCTGCTACAGCTCCGTTGATATTTTTTGTACAATGTCGGATTTGTTTCTGGTGAGTTCCATTAAAGACTTGTATATTTTCTTGACTTGTATTTAGTAACTTACATGAAAATAATGTGCACACCATGGGGCTACTTGATGTTAAAATTTTGTATTTTCACTATATAATACATTTAATACTCCTTAACACAGTAGGAAAAGACAACAAACCTCAATTTCAAAAGATTAACAAAAACTTGTCCATTTGCTAGGTCCAACAATCTTGAGACTTGACCATTGGGAATCAGAGCATTCACCTAAAATATAATATTTATAATAATTTGTTTCAGACTATTTAACAAGTAACAATGTTTAAAAGTAATATAAATGTAACATCAAACAGTCCAGTGTAGGACACTGGCCTGGTGACATATATGATGCATATAAAAAGAAAACATAATATAACATACAACATGTACAGCAAGTACATGATGGATGGAAAAGTTTGCTACCAGGTATAATTAAAATACCATAGTATTTTACCACTCGGACTCGAGATGTTTGGATAATTCAGAAACTTTGTTCAATAATTTTATGTACCCAATTAATGAGAGCCTTTTCCTTCCTCTCTTCCATTTTGTCAGGTAGATAGATTAAGGCTGATAATTCTCGTTTTCTCTCCGACCTAAAACAAAGATAAAACTTTTAAAAATATATACAAAATTGTATATATAAATGTACAAACTAACAAATACTAAAAAATAATAATTAAACAGCCAGCTTGTACATGTTACTACCCTTGCCACTAAAACTGTACATGTACTGTTAGATGTATATGGGTTAGATTCCAAGCATCTTTAACAACTGTTGTTTGATAGATGATCTACAAACCTTTAAAATCTACACAATTTAATTAGCATACACAAAGAGCTGATATCCACAAAGAGCTGATATCCACAAATTTCATATTATTATAACTTTGTCAAGTATATTGGAACAGCTTTTCTGAAAGTTTGCTTAAACAGTCATGTAATCTATGAAAAAGAAATATTTTGGTATATTCATCATATAAAAATATTCACTGGAATGATATATCATTTAGCCTTGTGTGGCACATAAGTAATAGATCATCACATAACAATGAGTGATAAAAACGGCTGCAAATCAAGAATTAAAGTACCAATACAACTATGAACTAATACTAGTAATATTTTTTATCAAAAAAATAAAGGTTGATCTCAACATTCCCATACATTAATCAATAATGGTTGAAAATAATAATGCTCATTCACATTCATTTAAGAATCAAAGAATGTGAAAGATATTAAATAAAATTACATATTAAACCAAAAGAGCAGAACCTAAAGTTTATTTTTTTCGAGTTGCGGAAATCATGCAATTTGTTAAATATCTTGACCGATGATATGCATGTTGAACAGCCCCATGTGTTCTATCAACACAGTGCATGGTACGTTGTGTAGTGTGAGGGTTGGTGAAGTGTACTAGTGGGCGGGGTAAAATGATAACGAGATTTAGTTTCACGTACATTGTTTGCTATAAAATCTGTAATATCCGTGAATACAGATTAGCTACATAAATGTGATGAAAACTTTTTCCATGCTTTATACAGCAACATGTTAATATTAGTAAATCAATCAATACGACAAATCTCATATATAGACAATCACCCAGCTCGAACTTCGAAGACATTCTACCCGGGAAATCGTGTTCGCAATTTTGCCGAAATATCAGTTTATATCGAGTTAAACTACATGCTTTATGCTGATTTAAGTAACACAATACTTACCCTTTTCTATGCATTTCAAATTTCTTAATATTTCAACATGATTTAACAGTTTCGGTCTTTTCACATGATCTTATAGGGCACCTGCTCGACGACATCAGGTTTGTTTTGAATTTTGCGCTTGTAGCCTCGTTTTGGATTGAGGTTTGAAAAGTAACCTGAAGATTACAGTCGTCAGTCAAAAGAGGAGTGTCATGATACGTACGTGATTTGTCTTTTGGTTAAAAGATTTTTTTATAATTATGTTATAGTTTTCAAATGGAATATTAACCAGACGGAGAAAGCTTTTAAAGCCACTTAACTAAAATCAAAATTAGAATAAGGATAAAGGGTTTTCTGTTAGGATTGCTACACCGGTGTCCTGTGAAAAAAGTGTTCTTTTCAAAATGCCCCTGTAGAAATTGCAGACCAGACTCAGTGTATATATATACCTTGTCCAAAAATCAAAGAATGACAGTAAATTATATACTTACATCATTTGTCTTATCTCATTATCCTTTCGAGAACGTAGCCTGTTAAAGTCATTTTTTCTTGAATATATCATTGGAATTCGGGTGGGTTTGAAACTCATTTTTGGCCTTAATTAAAATTTATGATGATAATACACAGAATAGTTGTTATAGAATGTGAATGTTTGATTATTTTATATTATGAGTTACGTTAGATCAAAATCGTTCAGTACACACTCATATATATTATATCTGAAACTCTCTAACTTGTTAAACCCACAACTGAGAAATCCAAATGAGTGAATAAAACTTACTTTCGGGTTTTATTTATATCTACTCAATAATATGGCGTGACTAATTATACTAATTAGCATGCCCATTATGATTACCGCCATATGGCCACGCCCATCTCTGCTACATGGAAAATAATTACAATTTCCAGACACGATTTATCACTTATTCATTCGACACATCCCTATCCTTGGGGTATATATAATGATATAATTGTTTTCTTACTATAGTTAGGCACCTTATAGTGTTAGGTTAATTATTAGGATTCCACAATATCTGCCTACGGTATCTATTCATTATATAAATTGGGAAAATAGAACTTGATATGTCCACCATGTAACGACATTGTAGGGGACGAAGTCCATTTTTTATACATTTTCTGTATTGATGTAATAAACTATGAGATGGAAGAAATATATATTTTAAATCAAAATAGCCGAGGAACGCTACAGCACTGAACTATTTTACATCTATAGGGTTGAACCGTTAACTCTAGCATTCAATATTAAAGCTTATTTTCTAGGTTATGACAAAGGACTATATTGCGATAGTATTCCAGTTTAGTATTTCAAAATATCACTTCCGACGGAGATATGGACTAAAAAAATACGATAAAGCGGAACAAAACGTAAAACATCTTCAATAGAAGAATAACTGTTTGACAGGCTAGATACACCGGTCCTAGCTGAATCAGGATTAGATGTACTGCTTTAGATCCAATAACGTACTCGATATATATGTGTGTAAAACAAATTGACATGGGTTCAGGGTCTGGGATATTTTGTGAAAAATTATGACTGATAGATTGTTCTATAGCTGTAGATTTAGTTTCGATTTTTTTTGATTTTTTAATAAATTGTGTCCAATTTTGTCCAATTTTGAAAAGACACTTCTGTTTGTGGAAAATGTACTTAGTTTATACGGGCGTTACCAGAGGCGAGCGTCAACTTTATTGTGGTGCGGGGCATACATTCTCTTCCATTATTATTATTTGTGTAAATAATTGTTTTTCTCTATATAGCTATACCCCACTGAGGAACAATTAATTAAGTTTATCGTAAAGATAATAAAACGCCCATGGAAAGTCCCGCCGACAAAAGTGTCTTTTTTAGTTTTGTTCATCGGCATCACTGTAGCAGTGACGTATAATACATGTATTATATGTCTCTGACTGTAGTAACAAAATTCTGTACACAAAATAAGATGTTAAACAGTAACAGTTAAAGGGTGGAGTCGAGAAATGAAATATAGAAATTCTCTGCATGGCAAGCTTAATTCTTGGCAGCGCATGGATATCATCTCGATATGGGAATTGGGTCAGTAAAGAATTTCAATAATTAGTAACGGTATTTTCATTTCAATTAAATTGTTACATAAGGTAAGGTTTTTATGATTTATTTTGTAAACGGAATGTATCCATGCACATGTTTGAATGATATAATTGCGATACGAAATTAATTAGATTTTTTTCCATTTTTAATTAGAAATATACATAATTAAACAACAAACTAGTGTTGTTTTTTAACTTATTATCTTATCTGCAGGAACAATAACCTCAAATGTCCAATCGATATCTTTAATTTACTTTGAATTTATTTTTTAAATTAATAAAAAATCGATCGTAGCTCTACTGGTCATAATTCTAATTAACTTTAAATTCTATTTCAACAGTGGATTTTAGGAGAAGTTCGGAAGGTCTTTGATATTGTATAAAGAAATAACCATTTGCATCGTTCAAAGAACCCGAAATGAAAAATTACAAAAAACAGCGGGAACTGCTCTTTAAAGTATTCGCGCGCAATTGCTCATAAAGCTCAATTTAATTACCTCCCTTAACAAGCTTACTTTTAAACCAATCAGTGAACTCGTTACAAAAGAGTTGCAAGGACGATGAGATAGTCACGAAGAAAAGCTTTTTCGTGGATTTTCGCATGACACACAGATACAACAGGTTTAATGAACTTATTATTGTCAAATATATATATATTGGCCGTCTACTATATTAATATCGACAATGTCAAGACTTGTTAAATGCTTTTATTGTCAAATTTACGTTCACAAAGGGCCTCGAGAATAGAACATACGGTGCGCACTGTCATTTTGTACTTCATAAAGTTATCCCAGGGTTGACTTACGTTTGAGTATTTACTATTGGAGAATAAACGAATATAGCTTGTCATTATCCAATATAGCCCTTGTGAACGCAGTCGCAGTAAAGATATATCTGACATCCACGAAACCTGTTAAAATGTACAAAGTCAAGTCAAAACTATTTTGCACATTTTGAGGTTTGCCTCTACTGCACAGTAGCAGTCCTGTGTACATGACTATATCCTTGCTTTCTGTTGCTCTTTTGTGTCGTTTATAAGCTATAGCAGGGCCATGCAATTTCTTTGAGGTGATGCAAGAAGTCTTCTCAAAAGGTACCTCGGGGTTGATCCAAGTTATGGCGTGTAACGGTCAACGCATACTGGCAATTTTTGCCCCCCCCCCCCCCCTGAATGACAGAACATTGGATTACCATTAAAATCATATTGGAAACACATGGCAATAATTTCAAGCAGAAACAGCATTGCTATTGCTAAATTCGACATTGGTTCTATCATTATTGCTGTCATTTTTAACAAATTTGTTATTTTTGAAACATTTAATAACTGTAGCCTGTCATTATGTTCAAATCTGCTATTAGTTCTTATAAATATTGATAATAAAGATCAGATGATGATGATTCTGACTTCCCTGTCTCCCAATATACTTCTAGTTACTACCATTTTTCCCATTCCTATAGTTGAAATGCCATGTACATCTTATGAAATCCTCCATCAGAAAGACCCCCCCCCCCCCCCCCCCAAGAAACAGTTAACATCTCCAACAATGGTCAAAAGTCCACATGTATGTTGTATAGAAGTTCATCATCTTGGTTTATGTAGTGTAGTAGTTAATTATCCCGTAGCAACAAAAGTTCAGGGGGATATAAGGCCGATTCCACAGTTTGGTTTGGTTTAGATAAATGTTTAAAGTCCTATCAACAGCTACGGTCGTTTGAGGACAGCCTCCCCTGTGTGCAAGATGCATGCATATGGTGTATGAATGTGTGTTTTGGGAGGCAGCGATATGTTCGTGTTTGTCTCCTTGTAATAGCTTGGAACTGCTACCTCACTGAAACATACTGCTGCCCGTACATGTCATTAAGTTGCAATGACTTCATTGACCTCAACAAAATTTCATGAAACTTTATTATACAAGTGTTTGGTATGATAATTAAAACCTTGAACAAGTTTGCATTTCAGGTCACTGCGTTAAAGTTCACTTTTACTATTTTAAGAAAAACTTTGACATCGCTTTATCCACTTCATTCCTTAATGAAATTTAATGAAACTTCATACAAGTGTTTTTTATGGCAAAGCCTTGAACAAGTTCTCGTTTCGGGTTTCTGCGTTGAAGGTCAAGGTCACTGTTACTATTTTTAAGAAACTTACAATTTGTGAATGCGAGGGGATTTGTGTCACATGTAATGTCTTGTTATTTTCTAGAACAGCTTTCTTCCAGTTTTAGTGTCTACATCATAATTAAAATGTACATGCTGTCAGTCTAGAATCCTGATTTGTGATTGGTATCATGCAGTCTTGCAACTCAAATTTAAGGAGTCACAATTTAGGTCAATCCTGACCAGTTAAGTGTGCTGTGGATGAGGGTCATGAATATAAAGACAAAATTATGTATTTAAAGCAAGAGAAGAAAAAACCAGTACATGTTTATAGAGAAAGAAATGATCTGGAGGCAGATCTTTACTTCTGAGTGGTTCAGTAAGTGTGATACATATATATTAGTTCTTTTAGTTTTAAAAAGGCTCTACTGACTCCCAGCTTTTATATGAATATATATATGGAAAACAACTGACATGTTTGACTTTGTCACATTCTCGCCCACTAATAGGCCCACCTGGATTACCTACGTACTGACAGGTGTTTCTACTTTCCTTTTCTGGTCAGATTTTTGCACTTTTCAAAGTTTAAATGCTGCATCAACATGCAATATGTAATTCAGAACAATTCTAGAGTTGCTTCCTTACAATAATCCTACACATTAAAGCCATGTTGGTCTCTGTGGAGTATAACATATAGATAGATAGAATAAAGATTGGCACATATTCTTGCTTCTTCCTACTACTCATATAAGCTTTTGCAAGAGGGGATTTCCCTTTAGGTTATACATTGTATATAGGAAGCTGAAGTTCACAAGGTCAATTCCTGGTGGAAGTAGTTGTTCATGCTACTCATCCTGTTGAAAAAAATATTTAAAAGTTATTTGATAGAATGGTGATTGACATTTTAACACATGTACAACAATATGCAGTGATTTTCTTTTTTTTTAACAAAGTTATTTTAGTCTTGATGTCATTCTTTAGTTGCATTTGTTTTAGACAAATATGATTCAATCATATTTTGTGGTAATATGTGTTCTTTTTTCTACTTTCAGTTGTGTTCTTTTGGATACTGTGTTCTAGACACCATGGCAACTGAGCTGCCAGCCAATACAATGAGCTTGCAGCAGCAGCCAGGTTTGGACTTGTCTAGTTACATGGACATTGTGACCACATACAAGTGTCGCTTCTGTGCCTTCACCAGTACAGCACCACAGACAATTGGCCTTCACATCCGACAGGTCCATGTCACGCAAGGGGAGTTCCTGTCACCAGGGACAACCAGTGACCCTACAGAGGTCAAGGGTATGAAGGACACTGACAAGGAGGTAACTTCCTCTAGCATTTTTCAAGACACAAATGGTGTACATGATGTGTCAGAGCAAACTGTCACCAACCAAATGACACCGGTGATGACCAATTTTGTTGATATGGAAACCTCAACTGTTTCCATCCTACCACTGTCTATGGAAACAACCACAGCTGATGCAATCTTACAACTGTCAACAAGACTACCAGATAACAATGGTGATGTTGATGATGGTACGTCTTCAGAGAAAAGTAACTCCAATGATGATAATATAACTCATTTTGTTACTGTCCATGAGGAGGACCAGGGCGATGAAAACTACACAACAGAGCCTACCGTCATACAACAGACCTTCCCACAGGTACATAGTAATGTACAACCTATCCTGTCAACAGGAGAATCCCAGACTGTCACAGTGGAAAATGAATTTAATTATAAATCAATAGATATTCCCTTGGAAACTGAATCATTAATACTAACTGATGCCAATCACCAGAAGTCAGCCCCCATCACAAGGGAGTTGTTTCTGTGTGGCCAGTGTAGTATTGGATTTAATAGTATAGATGAGTGTCGGGCTCACATGATGGAGGATCATTCTGATATCACCAATGCAGGGGAGGAGGCTGTGGAAAATGAGCTCTCACATCGTGTCAGTGTGGGAACACAAGTGGAGACTTCAAGACGTGGTAAGAAGCGAAAAGTGGTTACCAGTAAACCCGCATCACCACCTTATGCATTGGACTCGGATCCAGACCTAGATTGGGATGATCAAGAAGAGTACAAGCCACGCGCCAGTCGGTCTCGTCGAAAAATCCGACCTCCAAAGGCTCTGAAAGAAGATTATTACCTTGGTAAAAGTAAAGTAAAAGAAAAACCTAAAGTTATGCAAGGATTTAGACTGAAATGTGATCAGCTTGGCTGTAGTTCAAAATTTAGGACAAAAGAAGCACTTCAGGTGCATTTAAAATGTCACATGACTGATGTTTTTGAATTTAAATGTCCAGAATGTGATAAAACAAATGAGACTTGGAAACAGATACGTATTCACCTGTGGAAAGCTCATGAAATCGATACTGACCTGCTAGCTTGTGATATTTGTGAAAAATTTAAAACTGATACTATGAGTCGTTTGGTGATCCACAAGGAAATCCACAGTGTTGACCGACCCTACACTTGTGACATCTGTGGCAAGGGCTTCCGACAGTTCAGCCAGATGAAAAACCATCAGACAATCCATGGAGAACACCAGGACGATGATCCCAAGAAATGGTATCGCCGTAAGGAATGTGACATCTGTAAACGCCAGTATGCCAATCAAAAGTGCCTTGTCAAACATATTGAGGCTGTGCACAGTAGGATTAAGCCATACGTGTGTCCATACTGTGGTCACACAGCTGCACGTAAGGCCATGATGGAGCTCCATATCAGGACTCATACTGGCGAAAAACCCTTCAAGTGAGTCATTGTTACAAGCAGTAGTCCAAGACCAAACTAAAAGTATCTAAATAATTTGATACTTTTCCCAAAGTTCATTCTTTTGACCTGATCAGTAGGCTCCCTTGTAAGAGCAAAGACGTGTAGGGACATGATGTTATGTTTGGCTGTAGCATTTTTGGATAGGGACATGATGTTATGTTTGACTGTAGCATGTTTGGATATAGGACCATTTTAGTTTGTTCAGTTAAATGACATTAGCTTTCAAGGTAACTAGATCTAGAGTAAAATGTGTGAAAATCTCTAAAACAGCTTATAAGAGGCCTTGGGTGATGATATTTGACTAGATGCATGCTGATATCAAGGGCTATCCCTTTTGTTTAAATCAATGACCTTGGCCCAATTTAAAGGTCACAAGGATCAAACATGTTCAAACCTTCAATGCTTCATGAACTGCAGCCACTTCCCAGGTAGCAGAGGCCAGGCAAATATGTTAAAACCTTTGGAGCCTGTAGTGTTAGTTTGCCTGCTGTCAGCCTATGTTTGGGTCGCTTTGACCCACACCTACAATGCACTTACAATGTTAAGGATGAAAGATGTAATTATGCATTTAAACAATATTGAATAACAGTTGATTGATTTAGGTACATTTGGCCTCTTGATTACATGACTATTATTTACTGTAGTGGCTATTTTGTATTGTATATGACTTTTACTTTCTACATGTATGTAAGTTTGTTTTGTATTTTACTAACTATAGTTTGTTTTGTGTTTTGTAGGTGTGACAATTGTCAGTATGTGACGGGTGATCACAACTCCCTACGTCGACACAAGATGCGACACTCTGGCCAGAAGCCATACAAGTGTCAGTTTTGTGGTTATTCTTGTATTCAGGCGATCTCCATCAAGATGCATATGAAGAATAAACACCCAGGAGGCAATATTGGAGTTTTCTGCTGTGACATTTGCACATTCCGCACTGTCAATGAGGTCAGCTTCAAAGGTCATATGGAAGACCACAAAAATGGTCTTATTGTTGAAAATGCTCCACCTCTTCCCCAACAACAACCCCGCCCACACATCATCATACAACAACCTGCAATCAGTTCACAATTCCAGCAAGGAGTCAAGATGGAAAAGGTCACAGTCCAAGGGGCAACAAATATGAAATTTGGAGAGACTATTAACCTTCAAGGTTTGGCCCAAATTGAGGGTCAAGCCATTGAGGAGCATGTGGTTGAGGTTCCAATGGACAGACTGGAAGAAAATCAGCTTCAGATGCAAATTCAGACTTTAGAATCAGGTGAGACTCAGATAAGTGAGGAGGATTTAACAAGACTATCTAGTTATGAAGGTCTGGTGCCCTCTGACCTATCGGCCGCACAGCTAGTGCTATCAGCCCTGAATGCCATTTCTTCACAAAATTCGGAACAGACCAGCAATGAAACCCCACAAATTTTAAATGGTGTAGAGACATCCATAATGTCGTCGGATATCAAAGATGGCGTGACAACACACACAATCACCTTCCACATGCCAGCATCCGCTGCTGACAACACTGTAGGTGCTACAGAGACCATTACAGATGTGATGACCGGCGACAATGTAGTTGATATTCCTGACTCTCTGGGATCTCTGAAGGGGGTGGAGGAGACTACTAGTATACAGAACGGGATGCTCATACTCTCTGGTCAGCCTGTCACATTGAACCCTGTGATTCTAAACAATGACCAGACCAGTTGTGCTACTATCCAGGATCTGGCTCAGGTTAGCTGTCGTTTGGTCAACCAGTAGCACAACTGACATGTACTTGAATCTAGGCTCGGAATAAATCCAAGCAGTGTTGTTTTTGTTGAAATAATGTTATTTCTATAACAATTAAGCCCATCAAAAGTTAAATGTTTATTTCAAAAACATTGTTTTGAAGCACTGGTGATTGACTGTATTGCCACCCTTTACTTAAGAAATGATTTGACCAAGTTGTAGCACTGTTTGAGAGTGACTACTAGAGGAAGTAGTCTTAATCAGGATTGATTTCTTATTGTAATTGGGGGCCGGGGAGTGACCAATCATTTCAAGCATCTGTACTTTGAAGTTGTTATTCTGATTATGCCAAAGCTTGTTGTTGACCATAGAGAGCAATTTCTGTATATTACTAATGATTAAGATTGAGTATAAGAGCACTACTGTATGGATGTGTATGGCAAAGAAATAGCATTGAGGCAGAAGAAAATTTTACCGTACTGTCATGTATTTATGTACCATGTACAATGTGTTTAAGATAATTGGCATTTATAAACTTTTACATCTAGTATGTTATGTTTCAACTATTTTGACAACTATGTGATCAGATGAACGGAAATAGGTTTATAGGTCAATGGCTGACTCCACAAGTTGCTGAAAGACAAACTTATTACAGTGTATATTTGTATATTTTTGAAAATACAAAATATGTTTGTTCAACAATAGCTTTGTTCCATGCATGTAGATTTGTTTTGAAACCTCCCCCACTTCCTTGGTACATATGTAATCTGTTTTGGACATTGAAGATGTCTTTAGATTCTGAAATGAAATTTGTTTTAATACCAAAAATACATAAAAACAAATATTTTAGCTCTAAAATTTGTTTAAAAAACAATTCTTAGCCTTTATTATATGAAACCTTTTGGGAAGGTGTGAGATAGACACTTAATGTCATCGCAACATTTGGTCTGTTGGTCATAGATACACTTGTTGGTTTGTTAGCAGGTTTAATTCACATGGCTTAGTCTAACATTGATCAAACCCTGTTACTAAATGTAATGTCACCTATATATTATGGTGTTTTTATAAATGAAAGATTTAACACAAATTGTACATATGGTGATAGCAAAGTTCTACCATATCTGAGAGTGTGCAATCAGTCACCTTGGGCATTATAGAAAATTGACTGCAAGGATGAATTTTTGTGAAACTATACATCATAACATTACCTGAATAATTTGGAAAGTTCAAGGCCATAAAGACTACTTAGTGATAAATCTATGGTATTCATCCTCATATTGGAATTGTCTACTTCTACATTAGTAATGTTTATGTTTAAAGGGGTTCTAGTCAATACAAAGTCTGTAGTACTGAGACATTATATTATTGTACATTATTTAACTTGTCCATTACTACCTCAATCTTGTTTATGAAAACTTGTCTTCAGAATTTTCTGCACAATTATTTCCTGATACAATTATTGATCCGTAAAAATGAAGTTTACAAGTGCTCACAAGATTTATATTAAATGTTCCAGTCACTAACTTTAAGAATTTGTTTGATTTTCTTTTTAGGTCACCTGAGCTTTAGCTCAAGTGACCTATTGCTATCCGTTTTCGTCCGTTGTCGTCCGTCGTCCGTTAACATTTTACATTTCAAACTTAAAGTCAAGTTCTGCTGGGCCGATTGAACTGAAAGTTGGTAGGAATGATCGCCTCATGGTCCTGACAAAGTGTTGTTATTTTTCGGGTCGATCAGAAATCCAATATGGCCGCCACGGCCGCCATTTTGAAAACCTATTTCAAACTTAAAGTCAAGTTCTGCTGGACCGATTGAACTGAAAGTTGGTAGGAATGATCGCCTCATGGTCCTGACAAAGTGTTGTTATTTTTCGGGTCGATCAGAAATCCAATATGGCCGCCACGGCCGCCATTTTGAAAACCTATTTCAAACTTAAAGTCAAGTTCTGCTGGACCGATTGAACTGAAAGTTGGTAGGAATGATCGCCTCATGGTCCTGACAAAGTGTTGTTATTTTT